TTCAGGTCTGATTTTCGCTATTGCATAAATAGCGCTATCTACGGCGAAGGATCGTGCATCATACGCATTTAATACCGCAGTTCAAAATATATGAACTTCATATATCCATTGAAACTTAGACTGTCTATAATTTGGCCATGCCATTCCTTTATTAACTATGCTATCCTGAAGCTGATCCTTGAACCATCTTTGTATTTTACTGATCTATTTGACATCCTTGTATTTTTGGTGGTGACGGCCGCCCATAAGAGCTGGTCAGGCCTCTGCTCACTCTGGGGACCTTAGAGTAAGAGACGGTGTCAGAAAAGGTCCTTTCACACAAATTTGGAAAGTGAAGTTGTACAACGGATCACCTGCTACCGTGCTCATAAGCGGCTGCCAGTGATGTAAGAGAGCTTGTTGGCATGCATGCTAAACAGGTTAAAGTAGACCTCGAGTAAACAGCTTTTGCAACAAAAACTTTTGAAAAAACTCCAACTTTATGACAATCAATACACGCATTCAGTTCATTGAAAATAATAGAATACCTTTGGGACTGAGGCTTTGTTTTGAGATTTGCATTGAGTCATGTAAACAAGCTAGAGGGACTGAATCGTGGTCGTAATTGTTCTTTCTCAAAATCTGCGATAACATCTTGACTTGACCAACAAGCTGACCGACAGCTACATATGGAAAAAGTGTTTTACCTCGGCTACCTCTACACTTTAATTGTTTTAGCAATAGTTGTTATAGTTACTTCCGAAACTTCCTCGAATGATTTGGAACAGCTTCATCCTTTCTTGTTTTTTAACGGGAAAGATATCCTTAGTCTCCACGAACGCACACGAACTACTCACGCTAAAATATCGCAAAGGATTGACTTGGTAACTCAAGATTTTAAACAGAGGCTTGAATATTTTTTACCTCCCAGGGAGTGGAAAGCCTTTTCTAGTGCTTGGAACGAGCACTATGGCAATCACCTCACTGCGTTAGCTTTCTATTGCGTTCTCAATCCGCAGGATATCAATGCGACATAGCTTGCTATTCTGTTTATGGAGCGGCTTTCCAATCTTCCCAACTGGCGCGTCGCCGCTTCATTCCATGACGATGTCCCCGTAGCCCACTCTTTAACCGGCATGGCGACAGCGTACGACTTTCTGTACACGCGTTTAAACGACGCTCAAAGAGCTCGCTTCTTAGGGAATATAACGGCAGTTACAAAGGAATTGTACGAAAGATCTTTCAAGCTTTGGTGGGGATCTTCTTATCTTCAAAATCACGTAGCCACAAACTATATGGCGATATTTAATGGCGCCTTGATTGTCGCCCGACACAAGTTCTTGGAGGGGGAGAAATGGCTGTCACGAGCTCATTTAATGTTAAGTAGAAACTTAGAGCTGTTTAACTTTATTGTGGACGGCTCCATTGACGAAGGAGTCGCGTATGGCACTTATACAACACGTTCACTAACGCAGTATGTGTTCCTTGCGTTACGCCACTTTCGCGTAGACCTCACGCAATCTCCTTGGCTCAAAGAGCACGCGTTGTTTCTTTACCATACGGTGCTCCCAGGGTTCAAGGAAACTGTTGGCTATGGCGACTCTAATCGGAACTGGTTTTANGGAACATAGCGATAAAAATGACAAAGGAACCCTCGTGCAATTTCTTGCCCATCTGTGGGTTGCGCAGACGAAAGAGTTTCTGCGTGCCAATGCGCAGCCTCAAATAGGAGGCATACACTTTGTTCAAATGGAGGACCTGATCTTTAGACCTCGAAAAACAGCAGAGAAACTTCTTCGCTTTGTGGGCGTTCCTCTTTCTCCAGCTGCTGAACATCGCCTACTTACAGCCGTGCGGACTGGGCAATTTGGTTTGGGATCCTTGAAGAATTGATTGGCTCCAGGATTGTCAAGGCCTGGGAACGAGAACTGAACGCTGAAGACATCGTGAGAATTGAGGAAATTTGCTCTGAAGTAATGAAAAAATTTGAATATGATTAACCAGATTAGGTGGTACAAAAATACTTGTGAGTGGGTCTTTGAGTTGTATCTTCCAGAAAGACACTTTGCTTCCATCAAACCTCTCTAACTCTCTGCCCAGGAGGCTTGGTCACGTGGGTGTCAGCAAACTGACAAAACTCTGGGGATAAGCTAAAATTTAAGACTCGTTCCATTTGGAAAGATGAACTTGAAAATACACTAGCCAAAATTCTTAGAATGGGTCATGTTCTGGCAGATAAGCCTAGCCACCCGAATTCAAGTACCCTTAGTCCTTTTTCTTAACCTTGATAACGTTTTTGAAAAGTGTTGGCCGAGCTTCGTTTTGTGATCCCTAGTTTATTAAAAAAAAGGTTTCTAATTCTTTTTTAATGCTATTATATTGAACGCTGTTGAATATTTCCCGAAACGAACATTTACTTCGCCTTCGGCGAATGATTTTTAAACATTCTTCCAACTATTCTAGGTCGCCATTTTGACAGCTAGTAAATAGTCTTGACTCAGTCTTCGCGCAAATATGTCTTGTCACAACCAGGGGCGAGTAGTAAAAGTTGATTAATGTCGAAGTGTCAGAACTTAGCTGATTGACAAGTCACATTCTTTAATGGCGAGTGATAGGAGCGTGACAACATTCATAAAAACGTAATACATTTTCCTAACCTTCCCAAACTAAACGTTCTTATTGAAGAAAAAAGGCTGATAGTTTC